AAAAAAAAAAGATAAAAATATTCAGTGAGCCATGCTTAAATGGATATGATGATGGCCAGGCTTTGTTGTTCTATTTATAGAATACAAGTGGAATACATTTAGCATGATCCTTAATGGCTCTGGGATTTCATAATGGTAAATCAGCAACGGATTCTACTTAATCAGCTGCATTAATCCCTACTGAAGAATCTGTCCTTTGAAGCCAGGCATAGATTTCCTTTCTACCTGTCAAAATCTGAAATGACATCTTATCCTAACATAAAGCTTTTTACCTATGTTGAAAATTTGTTGTTTAGTTCAGTCACTTTAATCAATTATCTTAGAGAGACCTTTTAGGTAACTTTAAAACAGCATCTGGATAACCGCTGTAGCTTTTATTATCCATCAGCACTTAACGGCTTCACTTTTTACTCTTTTGTTATGGAGATGGCTCTTCTTCTTAAACCTCATGAATCTACTTCTGCTAGCTTCACATTTTTCTTTAGTAGCTTCTTCACCTCTTTCAACTTTCACAGAATTGAAAAGAGTTAAAAGCTTGCTCTGGATTAGGGTTTGGCTTAAGGGAATGTTGTGACTAGTTTGATCTTCTATCCTGACCACAAAAACTTTCTCCATGTCCACAGTAAAGCTGTTTCTCTTTCTTGTCATTCCCTGTATTCACCGGAGTAGCACTTCTAATTTCCTTCTAGAACTTTTCCTTTGAACTTGCTAACCTGACTCAAGAGGCTTCCTAGCTCAATTCCTACATGCACTTTTTTCCTTTCCTCCTTTCAAATGAAGAGTTGCAAGCCATTACAGGGATAGTAACTGGCCTAATATTAATACCATTGTGTCTTAGGCAGTAGGAAAGCCCAAGAAGTGGGAGAAAGACTGCAGAGTGGCCATTTGGTGAAAAAATCGAAACACACATTTATCAAGTAAATTTGCCATCATAAATGGGCAGTTTGTATTACCCCCAAATAATTACAATAATAATATTAATTAATTAATAATCACAGATCACCATAACAGAGATAATAATAATGAAAAGCTTAAAATATTGCAAGAATTACCAAAATATGACACAGAGACATCAAGTGTGATAGGGCCAAATGTAGGGAATGGCCCAAATAGGACCTGTAGGGACCTGCCCAAGAAAGAATGTCCCACCCAGGAAGGAAGGAATGCGCCCATCCCTACCCTTCTGAACCTCCAAAGTCTTACATTCCCACCCACCTCAACCCACGTGCTGACTCCTTTTTCAGACTCAGCCTACTTGCACCCAAATGAATAAAGGCCAAGTTGCCCATATAGAACCTGGACCCCAGTTTCTTTCGTTCACGTCATGGAATAATTTCTCATTTTCAGTCCTTAACCTCTCAAAGTGAACTCAAGATGTTGGAAAAATGGTGCTGACAGACTTGGGGTAGGGTTGCTAGAAATCTTCAATGTGTAAAATAACAGAGTTTGTGAAGTGCAACACAGTGAAGTACAATAAAATGAGGTGGGCCTGGAAACCGTAAGACCAATACTTAATAAAAAATATTTTAAATACAAGTGTCTGAGTACTAATATCAAAATAAATCCTACCATATCTGGAAAAGATGTATATAGTAATAGAGATGGGTTTATTCTTCTACCTGAAACTGAAACTCTGGACAAAATACGAGCAACCCGAGTTTTTAGACTTAGGATATTTAATAGAGCAGGCAGTTCTAGAGAAATGATCTCTGAAAGATGGGCAACAAACTGAGCCCCATGTATGCCCCAAATTACTACTCATGGAAAGAGTCAAGGGAGAAATAAAGAACAGTGGAAGCCTAAGTGGAGCTGGCAGTCTTCACATTTGAGAAGAGAGAGTTGGGAGTCTGAGGAAGCCCACAGAAACTCCACTGGATTCACAAAGGGCTCTGTTCCAGCCTTGAGCTGAGTACTAATCAGTGAGTTTGTAGACACCACCTAAGGCTGGAAGAGAAAATACCCAGAAGTAGTACAAGCAATCCCCAAAGCTCACAGAAATGCAGGAGTAGCTCACGTTCCCACTGGCTAGCATGAAAATCTCCTAATTCCCGAAATACTGATAGAGTACTCAGAAAAATATTGCTTCAGAGGTAAGAAAAAATTAGCCCCTGACCAAAGGCTGCTTTATCCCACCTAACAAAACTTACTTCAAAGTAGCCTTCAAGGGGCAAATAACTTCAAGTCCTAATAACATGCCTCTACAACTGAAACAGGCATTTCAAAAACCAACCTGTGGTTTAGTTAAGGAATATGATGAAACCTATTTTTCTTTATTGCTTTCTCTCAATTTTCCCAAAGTATTACATCTAAGTATATGATTAAAAAATATTTTCTGTAGTCCTAAGATTATGGAGTTTAGGGTATAAAGATGGTTAAAAAGCACACTGCTGAGAGTATGACAGCAGGGAAGAACAGGAGAAAGCAGAAGGACTCGGGCCACTCCAGGTGCAAGAATATTAATGCCCTTCCCTATCAACTGTCCTGGTTTATTTCTGTTACTGTGACACTAGATGGGGTCGGTCAATCCCTGTGAATCTGCGCATCTTTAGGTAATGTTAATAACAGTCTGTTTACGTGATCCTGTATTCATTTATTTAACAAACTGACTGCCATACGAGAAAAAAAATTTTTTTCCCATGGGGCCACAGTGTTTTATTAGGTCAAAGTAGGTCAAGAAATAAGTCAGTTATATATGCTTCACAAGGCCCCAGGCTCAAAAGCAGCATAAGTTAAATACATTGCAGTTAATGTGTTAATCAACATATACAAGTGCTACTGTTTTTAGGTACAGTTATAAACACTGGAGATACAACAGTAAACAAAAGCTTCTGCATTCACAGAGCTACACCATTCTAGTACATCATGTTAATCAGCTGAAATAACTGCCTCAACAGGTCCTACCAAAATCTCTGTAAGAACATGTAATGTCCAAGGGGAAAACAGGCTGTTTTAGAACCAATGAGCTGCCATTCAAAGGACTTAATTAAACAGTCAGCTACAAGCTACCTAGTAAAGCATAACTCATAGAGTGGAAAAGCTAGATAAGCTGGGTGGTGCCTGTGGCTCAAGGAGTAGGGGACCGGCCCCATATACCAGAGGTGGTGGGTTCAAACCCAGCCCTGGCCAAAAACAAAACCTCACAAAAATATATAACATGTAGTAATATTTTTAACGCACTTACCTTCTAAATTGTTGATATGTTTTGTATCTATGATGCATAATTTCTTCCAGTAATTTAATAAACCTTTTTAAAGTCCTTACTTTATTATCCAGATCAAGATAGGTTTCTCTTGCTTCTTGATACTGCCTATTTTATAAACAAAATATTAAGTTAAAAAAAAAAAAAAAACAAACACCATACACAAACAACTAAGAAGAGTAACATCTCAAACTTAACCAGGGAGAACAGGGAGGACAGCGAGTACGAAGGCCAGCAGCAATCATTTTCATGAAGTTCCAGTCACAATATACTCCTGGAATGACAGTGCTACAGAATGAAAGAGTGCTAACCTGACTGGGAAGGAACAAAGTACAAGGCCTGCAGAAGGCAAAGAAAATATATGAGCGAGTGCCCTGGTGGGCCCAGAGAAGGCAGATCTTGAGTGTGTTGGCAACACACACAATTCCCAAATGTGAAGGGGTCACTCTGGAAGAAATGTTTCCCTTAGTTACACAGGAACAGAGGAACAGAAGGACACAGGTCCAGCATTAGAATTTCAGAGAAAGCATAGCCACTGGGAAGTGCAATTAGAGGGTAACAGCCTTTTACTATAGTTAGGGAGCTCCTGACTTAGTATGAAAGATAACCCTGGCCCAGGCTCCCCCAGCTACCCCTCTCATTCTCTCAAGTAACAGTCCAGGAAAATCCTACCAATTAGAAAAATGAGTAACAAAAAAGGCCCAAATACAGTACTGATGTGAAGACATTTATAGAAAAAAGAGGTGAAGAAGAGCAGCAAAACCTTCCTATAGATAAAGAAAACTTACTAGAACAGTGTTGCCACAAAGCAGATGGAAATTGTAACTGAACACAGTAAGACAAGTACTACCGGAAACCAACACCTCAAAGAGACATAAGAACTGAAAAAGCAAATAAATAACTCAGAGAATAAACAACAGAAGGTGATAACCACACGACAGGAAGTAAAGCAGAATCCAAGGCGGGGTTGGATCACCACCACCACAAACAGAAAAGGTATGAAGACAAACTGAGAGGCCAGTGGGGGAAAGACACTGATGGAAATTGAGAACACAAATAAGAAAAACAAAAGGGCAAAAAATCAGACAAAATGGTAACTAGAGAAGAAAGCATATCCAACTTATATCTAAGGAAAGACCTTACAGAACAGAAAAATAAAAGATAAAATCTATTCCTCACACCATACACAGAAATCAACTCTAAATAGATCAAAGATCTAAATGTAAAGAATAAACATATGAAAGAAAAAAGAGGTGACTACTTCCCCAACCTAGATGTACAGAAATGCTTTTTAACTTGAACCCTAAATCCAAATGGAATACAAGGACTAATCAAAGTAAATAAAAATTACTGTTACATGGAAAAAAGCCCCACAAAATAATATAAACAAATTCTACAGATAATGACAAATTAAGAAAAAAACAATATGTAACATATGGCTAATATTTCTACTATATTTTAAAAACTTAAAATTTGAGGGAAAAATACTATAAAAATGATAAAAATATTATAAATCATTTACAAGGTATAAAACTTGTTCTTAAATATGTGAAAAGGTTGATTTTTATTTATAATGATGGGATATAATTAAAATTACATTACCGTTTGTCAGGCACTAGATAAGGAAAAATTTAAAAACTTCACAGTATGTGTCTTATACTGTTAGTAAGGTTGGAGGGAAGCGTCCTCTCTTATACAGAGTGAACACTCCTAACCTGAAAATACAAGATTTGAAATGCTCCCAAATCCAAAACTTTTCAACCATATGATACTACAAGTGAGAACCCCACGTGTGACTTTATGTGATGGGTCACAATCAAAACAAAGACATACAACATGTGGTTTACTCAGTCTTCCCAAGGGAAAAAAGAGGTCATCCCCCTTCAGCTGTAATATATTTTTTCTACACATGCCAGGTATTTATGTCATATTTTTTGCATGTAAGTTACGAAAATGACGGCTGATTGTATATAAATTCAGAGTCAGGAAGGATGGTGATGCCAAACAACCAGGTTGTCTACATGGGTGGCTTAGACAGTGATACATCTGCTTTTCTGATGGTTCAATAAAACTTTGTTTCATGCATAAAATTATTAAAAATATTATAGAAAATCATCTTTATTGTATTTATCAATAAAAACCAAAGAAAAAATCTGTGAATAAGTTACACAGTGTGCTATCTTGTGTATCTGCAAGGATGAAAAACAGCATGCCATATACTCACATTATTTTGCATTTCATATAGAAACACTGAAAGCAAATAAATTAACATGTAAAATACAGTGAAAGGAAGGAAAAGTGATGAAGATGATGAAAATAGAGGAAATGAAACTTTTCACTGTTCTTTTTTTTTTTTTTTTTTTTTTGAGACAGAGCCTCAAGCTGTCACCCTGGGTAGAGTACCAGGGCATCACAGCTCACAGCAACTTCAAACTCTTGGGCTGAAGCAATTCTCTTGCCTCAGTCTCCCAAAGAGCTGAGACTACAGGTGCCCGCCACAACACCTGGCTATTTTTTGGTTGTAGTTGCCATTGTTGTTTGGCGGGTCCTGGATGGATTCGAACCCTCTAGCTCTGCTGTATACGGCTAGAGCCTTAGCTGCTTGAGCTACAGAAGCCGAGCCTCACTGTTCTTTTAACACTGTATTTTTTAAACATAATGTGCTCCTTGTAAAAAAAAGAAACTCTTACTATTTTGATGATTTTTTCCTATTGTTTTCCAATGGTTTTGAAAATAAAATTGAGACGTTTATCAACATTTTTTAATATAAAACAATCTTCAGAAAATCTAATAGTTGTAATTTTCTAATGTAATTTAACCATTCTTTAACACCTGAACATTACTTCTAATTTTTCAGTATTATAAACATCTCAGAACACAAAGTTGTTTCTCTCACTTTTTTTTTTTAAAGACAGAATATCACTATGTTGCCCTCAGTAGACTAATGTGGTATCACAGCTCACAGCAACCTCAAACTCCTGGACTAAAGTGATTCTCTTGCTTCAGTCTCCCAACTACCTGGGACTACAGGCACCCACTACAACACCCAGCTATTTTTTGTTGCAGTTGTCATTGTTGTTTAGCTGGGCCAGGCTGTGTTCGAACCCACCACCTTTGGTGTATGTGGCTGGCGCTGAGCCTATTTTTCTCACTTTGGACTATGTTACAGCCACAAAGTCCTTGGTCAATTGAAATTTTGGTAAAATATTCTCTCAAATTGACACATACTACTTAAGTGCTTTTCAGGAAAACTTTAATAATAACTGAGATACTGTTTCCCATATACTGTTTATTATGGATTATTTAATCTTCATAATGCCCTATAAAGTAACTATTATAACCATTTTATTGATAATAAATAAGGTTCTCAGAGATTAGATAATTTGCCAATGTTAGACAAGTAGTAGAATTGTAATTCAAACTGAGGCACTCTTTCTTTAGAACCTGTGTTCAAATTATATTACAACTTCTATTTTTACCAAAAATGTAAAAATATCCATTTCATTAAAACCTCTTTGGTTTAGAGCCTTAGTGTTATTTTCATCCTATTTAATCTGATGTGCTATGTATTTGAAAACTGGCTTCTAATTAATTCCATTTCCATTTCTTTGATTACTTGTGAAGCTGAACATGTTCTTCTGTATATGAATCTTACAGATATAAAAAAATCACTGGTGTTAAAATGTCCTTCAATGAGTTTTGTAATAATTAAGAAAAAACTTACTCTTTATTGTTAATACATAGTAACACACACATAAAAGATCAGTTTAACTATAACTCTTTGCCATATTAAAACTTCAGCCAAATTTAAGATTTATATATAAAGTTTTTTTTTAAGTTTTTGTGATATGCATGGATGAGGTAATAAAGTAGAAAAGCTTACCTCATTATTTCCTCCCGATCTCCATGACTAGCATGTTCTGCCTGTATCTTTTGTCTTAATCGATTAATTTCTTTGTCTAGCATTGATGCAGATTTTTTTACTTCTATTCGCTCTGGGCAGATTTGTCTTGCTTGTGACATTTTCTCCTAGGAAAATAGATTACTAATGTCTTTAAAAATCTTCTTTGATATAGAAATTCATTATAGTGTTTGTGTTAACATATGCAAAGTAAAATTCTGAACTCATATTTCAGAAATGTATTTTAATTGTATTTCATATCAACTTATTTACCTAAGTTTTATACTGAAGATCTAGTCCAGAGTCCTTATAATTCTTCAAAAGAAAACTACCCTATGTGTGTATCTTTAATAACTTGTAAGATCACTACAACTTCCTAGTGAAACCAATTTAAAAGCAGCAGTTACAAGAAGTTTAGTACCCGGGGAACTGAGGTCAGACATAGTTTTCTCTGTGCTTTAGGATGGACTCTGAACACTAATGCTATTGAACACTCAAATGGAAAGTCCTTCATGTTTGTAAAAGATTAGAAAATGCAAAGTACTTTTATACTTAATACTTTATATTCATAACACTGAGCTTAAATAAGAAAACAAACAAACATGGAAGGAAAGGGATTACAGAATTTAAATCATTTTCTTGAAGACATGAAAGCAATGTTGGAATCCAACTGTTCTATTTAAAACAAGGTTGCTTTTAATTTATTCTCCTAAAACCAGGGCTACTGCTTATAGCTGTCATAGGCATATCTAGCAGGAACTAAAATCCAGCCCAGCTTACACCCTAATTACTTAGAAGATGGGGCATCTTTTTTTGACTTGAAGTGGTTTTTTGCATGCCAACTTGAGTATTTAAGGGGCTATGTGTGCCCAGACTGTGTGTAATTTTCTAAATCATTCAGAGGCATGATACGGATCTGTTGCAGTCTTGCCTATTTAACTCCTAACATTTTGAGGCTGCCTAAGCCTCTTCTGTTGGTTCACCCAAACACCTGTTACTCTGTATGAAATAGAAATTCAGACAGCTCGTCTGTTTTTGGAAACACGACATTAGGGAAAACACACTTTAATAATTATGACTAATGCTACAAATAAAAATACAAAAAACACTGTGGATAACCTCTAGTTCCTTCTCTTTCATATCCAGTTCTCGTTTCTTTTTATTTAAGGTGTCCAAGTGTTCTTTTTGTTTGTCTTCATAATGCCGCTTGCCTCGTTTTTGGTTATCCACTTCAGAATCAGCAAGGTTTAATTCATCCTGTTTGAATAAAGCCAAAATAATCTACAAATTAAAAAGTGCTTTAAAAAATTTCCACCATAACTTAAAATAATTCAGTACTATAAATTTACAGAGGTAACCTAACAAGAAACATCTGATTTTTTTAAAAGGTGGGTTGGGGGAGAAGAATGCAAAGAAATTTAACAATGATTTAACATAACTGATATCTGAAGGTGTAAGTTCACAGTTCTTTTCTTTTTTTTTTTTGAGACACAGTCTCACTTTGTGCCCCTGATAAAGTGTCATGGCATCATAGCTCACAGCAACCTCAATCTCCTGGGCTCAAGCAGTTTTCTTGCCTCTGCCTCTGAAGTAGCTGAGTGCTTGACTACAGGCGCCCACCACAACACACGGCTATTTTTAGAGATGGGGTCTCACTCTAGCCCAGGCTGCTCTCGAACTGGTGAACTCAGGCGATCCATCTACCACAGCCTCCCAAAGTGCTGGGATTATAGGTATGAGCCACGATGCCCAGCCCATTAATTCACAATTTTGAGCATAAAATACAACTGTGAAGAGCCTCTCCCACAATCAATTAAAAATACATAGTGGTAAAGTAGGATAAGGTATAATGGACGTCATAATGCAGAGCAGTCACTGGAAAAATAAAGCAAGAGGCACATCTAATAAACAAGAAAAAGAGACTAGAAAAGAACACTAACAGCCTTGGTAAGCCAAAGAAGGAAAATATGAACAACAAAGACTGGATAATTCAAACACAAACAGCGGTCATTATTTCATGATGAAATACTGAATGCTTTCTTTTTAAGATCTACTATAAGGCAAGGATGTCTAGTCCCATTACTTCTATTCACCATTGTATTAGAAAGCCTGACTAGTTCAATTAAAACAAGAAAATAAATGACATAAAAAATTAGAAAGGAAGAGTAAAACTTATTTAGAGAGATGACTGTTTATAAATTCTAAAAGAAGAACCTTAAAAACTAACAAGTGAGTTTAAAAATGTCACTGGATACAGGTCAATACAAAATTCAGTGATGTTTCTATATACCAGGAAAAATTAATGAAAACATTTACTATACAATGAAAAACAGGAAACACAAATTCAAAATACAACTCAGAAATAAGACATATTCACAATAATTAAAAGGCAGCAATTTGAACAGACATTTCCCCAAAGAAGATAAACAAATAACAAAAAAACTCATATTTTTGCTCAAAAGTATTACCCACAGAGAAAATGCAAATCAAAATCATAATGAGATACTATTTCACACTCACTAAGATGGCTTAAATAAAAAAGGCAGACAACAACAAATGCTGGCAAGCATGTGGAAAAAATTCAGACATTCCAACACTGTTAGTGAAAATATAAAATGGTACAGTTGCTTTGGAAAACACTTTCAAAGTCCCACACAATGTAGCCTAAGCACATAGCTTAGCAATTCCACTCCTAAATGTCTATCCTAGCAAATGACAATACATGTCCTCACAAAACTTCTACATGAATGTTCATAGCAGCAGCACCCAAATGTCCATCAACTGATAAATGAAAAAAAAAACGTAAATACTATTAGACAATAAAAAAGAAGTTGTTCTGATACATGTAGTACAGATGAACTTTGAAAACATTAAGTGGAAAAAGGCAGTAACAAAGACCACATGTGATTCTACTCATTCACATGTCCGGAATAGGTGAATTTATGAAAATGGAAAGCAGATTAATAGTCTCGAGAGCTGTGGGGAGGAGAGAAGGGGAGTGACTATTTCTTTTTCACATAAGGAAAACGTTCTAAAATTGTGGGTATGGTTGTACAACTCTAAACATACTAAAAACCAGTGAATCGTATACTTTGAATGGGTGAATTTTACTGAACAATACATAAATCCTGCTGATTTTTTCTATACCACGGCTGATTTTGTATGTAGTTGTTCTATCCGCTGTTGAGGGAACGCTATCAGACTTTGCTTCTCCTATGTTGCAGCTCTGACACTGGGTTTACACAACATACTGAGAACTGCTATGTATACTTGTGGATTGATCCCATTTGTCATTATATAATGTTCATCTCTGTCTCTAGTAATTTTGTTTACTCTGAGGTCTATAGTATCTGATTTTAATATAGGTTCTTCTGCCTTCATCTGATTATTGCTTTTAAATTGTATTATTTTCCTCCTTTTGCTTTCAGTCTACCCATATGGCTATATTTGACACAAGCATCTTATAGATAACATACAATTATATTTTAATTAACTCTGCCCTTATTTGTCTTTTGTTTAGGTCATTTATATTTAATGTAACGTTATTCATGTTAGAGCTTAAATCCATCATTATTTTTACTTTGTTTTTTTATTAATCTGTCTTCTTTTACCTGCCATATGGAGGTTAAACTTTTTCTTAGGATTCCATTTTGATTTATTTAATCCATTTTTGAGTATATTCTCATTATGTAGTTATTTTTAGTAGTTGCCATAGGTATTACACACCTAATATTACAATCTACTGATATCATTATTTTACTAGTTTGAGTACAGAAATCTTACCTTCCTTTACTCATCCCTATTTTTAATATAATTCTTAAATAATTCTTCTATATAAGTCAAACATTTTGCTTGCTCTCTAAACATAATCTTATTAACTCAAGAAGAAAAGGAAAGATCATTTCATTTACCCATATTTTTATCTCATTTTTCTTCATTCCTAATGGCCCAAGATTCCCTCTTTTGTTGTTCCCAACAAACTACCTGTAAGTTTGCCATCTATGGAATGTCTTTATTTTCCCTTTATTGCTGAAAAATACTTTTGCTGGATACAGGATTCTAAGTTGGTAGGTCTTTTATTTTAACACTTGAAAAATGTTGTACCACTTCCATTTGACCTCCATGGTTAATGATGAGAAATTTCCTGTCCATTCAAAATGATTTTTCCATATAGGTAAAGTTTCTTTCTCACCACTTTTAATACTTGGTCTTTAGTTTTCAGAAATTTGACTATGATATGTCTTTTATTATGAATTATTTAGGGTTTATCCTGTTTCGGATTCACTCACTTTATTTAATCAGTGAGAAAACGCTTTTTGCCAAAATTGGGAAGTGTTTAGCCATTATTTATTTGAGAACTTTTTCTGCCCTGCCCTTTCTGGAACTGGAGTAACACAAATATCAGCTATTTTGTTGTAGTTTCAGAGATCCCTATGGCAAAGTTCATTTTGTTTGTTTCGGTCTGTTTTTTTGCTTCGGTCTATTTTCTCTCTGTTGTTTAGATTTACAGGGGATAATACAATTTCTATTATAAAAACTTCATGTTAAATTTTTTCTCAAAAAATAGCAACTGACTTCAGCCTAAAATATAGCTGACTTATAAACTGATAAACAGGAGTTGAACAGCACTTTATTTCAAGATGGCTTTTCCATAGTATAGCAATTAATCCTTTAGTTACTGAAGCAAAGGTGAGAAAACAAAATGCGCAGGCACAGAAACAGTATCTATAGATGTACAAAATGTCCTTGGTTCTGAAAACAATCACAAAAATAAAGATGCAACAAAAGCTATTATCCTCTGGGGGAAATAGAGGGAAATTTATTCTCCTAAATCTGTAAGCATAAGTGTTTTATATTAACTGAACTAATGACAGAAGTTTGATTCCTACCATTTTTTACATTTCATTTTTTTGTGGCTACATTTACACCTAATCAAAAATTCTTTCAATGTACTATCCAAGAAGTACATTGTAGATATAAAACTAAAACATAAATGCACATCTATCAGAATACCAACAATATATACCTTAAGTGGATCTGCTTGCTCTGATAGTTGATTAATTTTCAATTTAATTTCATCATACTTGTTTTCTGCTTCTATTTTCAGACTTCTAAGATATTCCATTTTTTCCTTTTGTTGCTCCATATTTTTCTCCACCATTTTCATTTTGCTTTTATTTTCTTGAGCCTCATCTTCCTGATAATATTAAAGAGTTCATTAAAGTACATTAAGTTATCAAACAAAAAATATATACAGATAATTCTGAAAGAGAAAAAACTAGAGTCTATAGGCAAATCAGATCAAACACAAATAAAAGAGCAATGGAATTTTCATACTCTTGACACATCAGGAAATAGAAGACAACAGATTCAAAAATACAAAGGAATGGCACTTAGGAGACAAGCTAAACAATATTCTGCTGGAGATCATAGCCAAAAGGAATAACTTTTATACTAGCTACTCCTTTTACTTCCTCAAATCTACTTAGTGAACATAAATATAGATCCTATACAAGATAATGTGTTAGAAGTCAAGTAAATAAAAATAAATAAGATATAATCCATACTTTTAGGAAGTTTAATATATCAATAAAAGGAATTAAAGAAGAAAAATAAAAAGGAGAAAACGAGACTAGTTAAAAAATGAAGATAAATTTTTTCATGAAAGCTTCATCATCACAAAACATTGTTTTGTACATTGCTATAATCCTCAGCACTGAATATGCTGTCTAAGACAGAGCAAACACTCATTAAATATTCATTTTAATAAGACTGCAATTTATCCAATTCACTGTTTAATGCAATTAAGAAAAGCTAAACTGAAGGTCATAAACAGATGCCTGAATAAATAGAGAGTAACAAACATGTGATAAATTAAAATGAAAGTCCCTACTTTGGAAAAAAAAAAAAGAGAGAGACTATACCTGACTAAAAAATGGTCCTTCAACTGTGTCAATTCATAGTGATACTAATTAACTTAGCAGTTTAGTTTCATGAGCCACTGATTTGAATCACAATTAAGTTTTTTTTTTTTTTTTTTTTGAGACAGAACCTCAAGTTGTCCCTCTGGGTAGAGTGCTGTGGCATCACGCTCACAGCAACCTCCAACTCCTGGGCTTAAGCGAGTCTCCTGCTTCAGCCTCCCAAGTAGCTGGGAGCACAGGCACCTACCACAACACCCGGCTATTTTTTGGTTGCAGCTGTCATTGTTGTTTGGCGGGCCCAGGCTGGATTCGAACCCGCCACCTTAGGTGCATGTGGCTGGCGCCTTAGCCACTTGAGCCACAGGTGCCGAGCCCACAATTAAGTTCTGATAAAGTTTTATTTCATGCAGTAGAAGACAAAATCAATTATTATTCACATAAGTTATATACATAAAATATTAAGAAATCTGAAGGCTAAAGACCAGCTAGTTTCCACTTTATCAGTGAATAGAGATAGCAATCATAAGAGAAGCTTTGATTTAAAAGATTTTTAAAAGAAGCTCAGAAATTTTTGCCATTAACCTAAATGATCATTTAATTCTAAACATTTAAATTACATTGAAATCGAAGAAAAGTGTTTACCAAGGTTGCAATATCTACAGACTGGTGTTCTTCTATGTTCTCAAGTTCCCGAATTTCAGAAATACTTTTTCTTATTTTCATCTGAAAGAAAAGGTATTTTAGTAACAAAAATAAAAACAATTACAATTCTTGGTAAGAATATATTAATTGGGGTGGAGGCAAGATGGCCAACTGGAGCCAGCTTTCCACAGAGACTCCTGTCCAGAAGGAGAGTTAAAGGACAAATTTTGTTAAGTAAGCTGATGGTTTGGAGCTGAGCCAAGAAAGAAGGCTGAAGAATGCACATCAACCCTGCTGAGGCAACCCCAAGGAAACAAACAATAGTTCTGAACTCCAACACTCCCCTCCACTCTTACCCCGAGGTCTGGAAGCCTGTCCCCCATGGAGTCCATATTCTGGGGCGTTTTCTCCAGAGGTATGGACAAGGTATGGGCTATTGCAGGTCTGTGCTGATTCTGTGACATGGGGGTAAAGAGGACTGTGGACCAACATGGAGAGGGAGAAGCAGAGCCCTGCGGTACAGAGCAGCAGCGGCAGGAACAATAGGGCTCACACCCCTGGGGATATTTTGGAGAGACACTGCCCGCCTCTCTTGGCAACCAGTGGCAGCCACTGGCAGAACAACAGATCTGGGGGAAACGCCTGTCAGTGAGTAAGGGGTATGCCTGAGGCAGTACCTTCCCAGGTGGGTTGAGGAAGGGACAGAGACTACAACATGCAGCTGTGGAGAGGACATACTCCCAGGGTGGAATGGAGTCAGAAGTGCTGCTTTAGTGAGCCTAAGAAGCACTCGGTCCCCAGGGGAACACTGCTGAAGACAAAAGCAGATGGGGCAAAAGCACCAGCCCAGGGACAAACAGACACTGATAGCTGAGTGTGAGCTCTAACTCCACCTGTCCCAACAGAATGCAGAAAAGACAGAGATGCCAGGTCCATGAGAATTGGCTGAACGACACTGGCACAGAGCGGGGCTGAGCTGCAGTTTCTGTGAACTCAAACAGAGCCCGGCTTGCAGGGAAATATAGCAGGGACAGAAACACTAATTCTGGACAATATAAGTGGCAGCAATATCAACCTGGGGCAGGGCTGGAACTGAGTAAATCACCCCAGCTTCCATTAAGCATGTAAGGTTCATAGGCTTCAGCTCCCCCTGCCAGCTGGTGGCACAGTGCGGGAGTCTAGCAGAGGAGTAAGATCTCTCTGTCACTCAGGCAGGTGCAAACTGCTAGAGCATTGCTCACTGGAGGGAACTGGATCACAGTCCCTCTGTTACCAGTGACTGGGTGTGACAAAGGTGCAAGGTGGGGAAGGAGATATCAACCTTCCCAGACTAATTTATTTGCTAGATGGGTCCTTCTGACTCTACGGAGCACCACAGTGAGTCATACTCGAGCTGCCAGCAGACCCCTGCTATCTAGTTGCTCGAGACCTTTTGAACTCTCTCACTTGAGACTTGGTGATGACTGAGACAACTGATTTGGAACTCTTGACCAGGCTCAATCACCCAAGGACTATCCAAAGTGGTACCCTGGATGTGTGGTTGTGGGAAGGTTTGATTTTCCTTTTCCAGCTGTTGCCCATGGCGGGTGGGGTGACTTAGTTGCTGGTATTTCTCCACAGCTGAGACTTCAACACAAAGTTACTGATTCACTAGGATTAGACAGAAACCAGCTAAAAACAAGAGCCACTTAGCCCTACAACACCAAGGAGGTCCCCAGTGTCTCACACTATAGCACTATACAGGTCCTTTGCAAAGCTCTAGGGGAAAAGGTACAGACACCAGTCCCAGCTCTTGGGCAAAGGGCTGGTTAATCCCTACTCTAGGAGCCTCCCTAACCCAACTTTACCTTATCTGCTCATCTAGCCAATGGTGTAAAATAATCATGAGGCGGAATCAGTGGAAATACTCTGGTAAGATGAATAACCAGAGTTGATCAACTCTCCCAAGGAACGGCATCGTGGACACACCAGAAGATCCCATTCATAAACAAATGGTTGAGATGGCAGAAATTGAATTCAGAATTTGGATTGCAAATAAGATTAATAGAATGGAGGTAAAGCTGGAATTAGAAATTCAAGGAGCATTTCAAAAGTTGTCTCAAGAATTCAATGAATTCAAAGACAAAATCACCAAAGATTTTGACACATTGAGGTAAGAACCTGAAGCCCTCAAAGATCTGAGAAATACAGTAAAATTCCTCAAAAACAGAATAGAGTAGGCAGAAGAAAGAATTTCTGACACTGAAGACAAAGCTTTTGAACGTTCCCAAAAGCTCAAAGAGAAGAGCAGTAGAGAGAAAAAACAGATAATTCTCTCAGAATGCTCTGGGACAATTTGAAGAAAACTAATATTCGCCTTATAGGAATTCCTAAAGGTGATGAGGTGCCTTTGAAAGGCCCAAATGCTCTACTCCATGAGATACTCAAAGAGAACTTTCCAGATATGCCAAGAAATTCTGAAATTCAGATAGCAGACAGTTTCAGAACCCCAGCACAACTCAACCCGAATACGACATATCCCAGACACATTATAATTAACTTTGCCAAAGTTAACATAAAGGAGAAAATTCTGAAAGCAGCCAGACATAAGAAAACTATAACCTACAAGGGGAAGAATATTAGAATGACTGCAGATTTCTCTGCTGAAACCTTTCAAGCTAGAACAGAATGGTTATTGAACTTTAATCTCCTAAAACAAAATAATTTTCAACCCAGGATCCTGTATCCAGCTAAACTGAACTTTATTTATGATGGAGAAATTAAATATTATAATGACATACACATGTTGAAGAAATTTGCCAGAACTGAACCAGCTCTCTAGGATATTCTCAGACCTATCCTCCATAAGGACCAGCACAATCCTCTACCACCAAAGTAAACTCACTCAGAAATTTTTGACCAAATCCAACTTCCACAGTGGTGAAAAAACTAAAAATGTTAACTGGACTTTTGAAAAACTCGATACCCAAAATTCTACCAGGCTTACCAAAATTCCCAATTAATGTGAATGGCTTAAATTGTTGTCTAAAGAGGCACAGGTTGGCTGATTAGATACAAAAACTCAGGCCAGATATCTGCTGCCTTCAAGAATCTAATCTTACTTTTTTTTTTTT